ATTTTTTATTTTTTTACGGAAACGAATAGTTTTGAAGATATGTCGCGTGACGTCACTTCTCAGTACATTTTATACTAAGAAATGACGTTTTAGCCCACGCTCCTAAACTTTGATTCGTTTTATCTAAGTATTGTTGTATTATACGACAAAATAAAAAAATACGTGTCTAATATTTTTAATTACCTAACTTATGGACTAATTAGATTTTTAATTTTCATACCCTGTCATCATCCCAATTCTACTGCATATTATGCAGTCTGGCATACAACTATGTATATTATTATTTGCGAATATTTAAATTTAATGCGCCAGCTGTTCTGTATGCATGGTGCATGCATTGTACGGCACCTGTCGCACAGTTCAAAGCTGCATTTTGCATACGGTGTATGAACGAGCTGCGCCTGGGCAAGCAACTGGTGACTTTGTAGCTTTGTGTTATCCAGCCGTGTGTTTGTATCGAATTCAGATTTTATGTACTTGTACATTTTGTGGAGTAAGTTGGAATAATTTTGAGCAGTTCAGATATGGAATATTTGGAATATGAGACTTCTGTGTGGAATTAAAAATTTATAGGATGGTATTATTTTCAGTGGTTTCAATATACATAGTTTAGCAATGGAATATTTTTTTAAAACAATCTCATTGGTAGCACGGAGTCTGGAATTGTGCCCGGTATATGGCAATAGGCTCACCGCCTATTACATGGGAATCATAACATAAACAGTAAAAACTGGGTGTTACATTGTACAGTGGCATAAAGTGCCATATTGTGCACCTCTGCCTACCACTTCAGGGATATATTCGGGTATGATTTCCGGATCTGGGTTAAAAAAAAGGTTGTCTCACAAACTTTTATAACAAAAATTTAACAGTTTTCTTATACATAGATGAAAAAATTATACAATATCATTGTTGTACGTTTTAATTTCATGCAGTTTCCAACTCATTCCACCAGTGATAATATTCGCCAAATTAATCCTAATTGTAAATACTTCTGTTATCTGAATTGTACTCATTACAACGATGTGATGCAAGGCGTATCTGTTTGTAAACAAGAGACGATCTGATAACAACATCTAGGACACTAGTGTACCAGTATTTCCTTGTTCTTAACTAATTGGGGTAAGCAGAGTAAGTGGTTAAATGCCTTTGTTCGTAAAGAATCGTTCTATGTTCCAACATAGAACGATTCTTTTATATATAGTATAGTCCACTATAAACCTACTATATATAAAAGAGTTTGCCATAGTCTTTGAGACGGGTTGGAGATTGCTTTTTAGAAGTTGCCAGTTCTTTGTTTAGATTTATTTTGTACTGAAGTCCGGGTCCTTTTGACAGCTCTTATGATATCCAGGAGTAGAATAAAGGTGGTACCAAAGTGACTGGCGATAGTACTATAATAAAATAAATAAAATAGCCCTTTATTCAGGTCTAACTAAATTAAAAAGAATTAACTTTATTTAAGTCTAGTTTTTTATGGGATAAGTTAGTAAACGAGCCGACGGATCACCTGATGGTAAGCAAACGGCGCCGCCCATGGACACCTGGAACACCAGAGGCGTTACAAGTGCGTTACCAGCCTTTTGGGGATTAGAAGTTTGAGGATTTTTGGGGATTAAGGGATTGGGGAGATTGGGGAAGGGAAGGGGTAATTGGGCCTCCAGTAACCTCGCTCACCCGACGTAAATTGTACAGTGTACGTCGATTTTCTGTGAGGCCGTGGTATCACTCCGGTCGAGCCGGCCCATTCGTGCCTAAGCATGGCTCTCCCACACTTAGTACATAGCTAGTATCTATACTATTACTAATTTTCTGAAGATCTGTTTTCTACTATACTCATTTTTTAAATGTACCTTTCAGCTTATCTCTTTGGCGAATCGATTTATTATTTTATGTTGAATAAAATATGTAGGTGAATAATATTTTTACACTGTTTGTCAATTCTTTCATCACTTAAGTTTTTAAACGAGTATTTTTATATTATTGATATGTATTTAATAAAACATTATTTATATAATAAATGTTATACATCTCCTTCAATCGTCTGTTGCAATGTGAACATAAAGATAAGACGTTCAAATATGCGTGTGCGCATTGCACTGGTAATCTAACATTCTTTAGTTTATTGTCAGTTCATACTATATTACCTTACTACCGCAAAGTAAAGAGCAGAGTTATGAATTGTTGAAAAAAATAAGATTATTTTAACTTATGGAAGGTATCGGACGGTTGTTTTTATTGTAGCGTTAAATCAATAGATAAATAATTTTCAATTAAAAGCAAATAATAAGTTATATTTAGGTCTGGATTAATAAATTCAAATTAAGTATTTTTAAGTTTTAATAGTTCTCAAAACCCGTGAAAGTTCATCAAAATCTGTTCAGTAGTTTAGTAGTTAATAATAATATGTATATTAAGATTATTCATTTAGTTTTGTCCATTTCCTATTGTTAAGTATCATCTAAATTGAAGTTATTCAGTGCGATGGACGATTTGACTCGCTAATTGTCATGAGTTAGTGTTACACAGACGGATGGACACGTCATGTGGTGACGTTTTTATTCGGAATAATAATCATCATTTTCTTTGTAATTGATAGTGACTGTCTGTAACGTTTTGTTTAAGGAAAAATTATTATGTTTTTTGTAAGTACGTAAATCGTTTATTTGCGTAAAATGTGGTATAAATATGATGCATTTGTATTCAAGTTAATTGAATAAATAAATATATACAACTTAAAATATAACTAACTAAAAACAAATATATATACCTCTATATAAAAGGGTATAATTAATAAATGTATGTATATTAAAATTTGTGGTGTAATAATGTATTATATTTGTTTGTTAGTTTACCTTAATTGTGGTTATTATGTAGTATTTTCTTTTTATTTCGGTTTAATTATATTTTATTGAATGATAATATTTAGTTTCAATAATAGCTTTACGTCATGGTATTTTCCTGCAAACTTAGGTAACTTTAGGTTTGTATTTTTTCGTCTAAAAATGTAAACTTTAATAATTAAGGAGGTTCCAAGAGACTTTCAACTATAACACAATAACATTTAGATTGAAAATCCGCAAACAGGTTCAAATGGCTTTCAACGCATGTATACAAAGCCAGGTCCCTAAGTACCATGACTATTAATCCTAAAGATCATTTCTCTATTATATATAATTAAATCTGTGTGTCCGTATTGTTAGTAATTGATGATCTACCATTGTGTTGTTTGATGCCCACACAATAACCACTGATGACTAACCTCATTAGCCAACATTTGACGCAATGTTGGTCATTATATTTGATCCAATGTTTGGAAGATCTGATAGGACATTGACGTGTGAGGTTTAGTAGAAAAGGGTTTGTGTCCAGTAAACAGCTTAGATGAAGGTACTTGCTTTTTCTAGTACTGAAATATTAACTGTCCGTGGCAATCCATTGCTAGACTATCAGCTTCATTAATATAAGGAGGTTTGCAAATATGCCTCGTTGGTCGACTGGTCGTAAGTGCGACAAGGGGTCTCAAGTTCGATTCCCGGGTCGGGCAAAGTATTACTAGGTTTTTTATATTCTCAGTAGTAGAATGGAGTCTGGAATTGTGCCCGGTATATGGCAATAAGCTCACCCGCTATTACATGGGACTCATAACATAAATAATGAAAAGTAGGTGTTACATTGTACAGTGGTATAATTTGCACCTCTACCCCTTCGGGGATAAAAGGCGTGATGTTATGTTATGTTTGCCATAATCTTCGCGCTCGACAGGCAGGTTGAAGATCGATCAAAAGGTCCAGGTTTATCAAACAACACTACTACACCCGCGAGACGAGTAGCGGTGGTGATGATGACACACATGTATTCTATTCTCCCTTTACCAGACCGCATAGCTGACTAATCACTTTTACTTATTTATGTATAGGTAATAAAGAGTTAATCCTTTACTTTTCGACTTTACTTTTGTCGTTTTACGTCTGTGTCTGTAATCAAAATATCTGCGACAGTTGCTAAGGAGCATTCATTAATGTTAATTAACCTTTTGAGCCTACGTAGTGATCTAATTTCACACTCAATCCAGACTCCAGACTGACCAGTCAGTATAATGTATAGTCACATTGCAAATTATTCAAATTGATTAAATGATGAACGATTTCTTTATTGACTGTAAACTGATTGGGAGCATTGACTCATTATTATTAAGACTCAAATTCGTTTAACGGGTTGAAATAAGTACTTATGCCCGTCTATATCTTATGTGATTTCTTAAATCTTACTAAACCTAAGCTTGTATTAATAGGTGCTATTTAAAATGTATCTAATATTATCGTCATTATCAATGACCTCATTTCCATCTACTTCTGGTTTTTTATGGCATAAGCCGTTAAACGAGCAGACTGATCACCTGATGGTAAGCAATCGGCGTCGCCCATGGACACCTGGAACACCACAGGCGTTACAAGTGCGTTACCGGCCTTTTGGGGATTAGGACTTTGAGGAATGTTGAGGATTCAGGAAAATTGGGGAATTGGGCCTCCGGTAACTTCACTCACACGACGAAACACAACGCAAGCGTTGTTTCACGTCGGTTTTCTGTGAGGCCGTGGTATCACTCCGGTCGCGCCGGCCCATTCTTGCCGAAGCATGGCTCTCCCAGAGTTTTTTTTTCTTTCATTTTGTATTTATTTTACCTGCCAGTTACTTTACAGATATCGTCACTTAACCTGCCTAACTCATCCAATTAATAAAAACACCAATAAGAAACGCTTAAAAAAGTGCATGTTAAAAACAAACTACTAACTTAATCCTTTTTAAAAAGGACTAGCGTAACATTACTGAGTGTAGATAACTGTAAAGTCTTTACCTACAAATAACTTAACCCTAAGTTTAGCGAGTCATGTTGTACACATGGACGGATTAGTCGCGGCACGCCTAGCTGTAGGAAACGGTTTATAGTTCGCTGTGAACCATTTCCAGCGGTCTAAAGCACCCAGTTCAAAGGTATAATGTTGTGAGTAGCTGTACATTTTACTAGAAAACTGAGAATATTGTGTTTGTATATTTTTTATATATTCTGTAACTGTTGTAGCTTTATTCTATGGGTCATGTTATACATACATATATAAAGTCCCTGGGCCCATGGGCTAGGAAGAGACTTTGGAACGCCAAATAATACGATTTTTACATTTTTAATGATACATTTTTCTAGTATTTTAATGAGAAATACTTTTTTGTACCTCTTTGTATTCTAATTCCTCTATCATGTTAAGTTTCATACCCTATATAAATCGTATTGGCTCAGTATCCTGATATTACTCCATTTTTTATATATTTGATGACTCTACGTTTGACCACTATCTCCATCTTTTCTCGCCAAAGTTATCACTGAAATCATACAAAACTCAACAATATCAAACAAGAAATTGTAAGATACAACTACAAGTGTAAAACATACATAATAAAGTCTAATTCACACACGATAAGTATAAGTACTACTTTATTCCCTAGAAGTGTTAGCTCTTAGCGTAGCGAATCTAATACACATGCTTACAATTTAATCTACCTAACACCTTTATCCTAAAGCAGTAAGGTTTACTTTCCTAGTAGTATCCATCGAGTTTGCACTGGGCTATAACTGTCAAAGTTTATCGACGTTACTGTTTCCGTTCGCAAGTATCGGTTGTATAATCTGTGCACAATCTTATGCAGGTGCTTACACTTTGTACCCACATATTGCGTTTGCAGGGTTAATTCTGTCCGCGGGAGTAGGGTTGTCAAACGTACAGGGACGTAGGTTTTATGAAGCTTATCTGTGTTACGTTTAATTGTTTTCTATACTTAACGAAGTTGGATCTGTAACTGTATGTATGTACTGTATTTGTTAGTATCCTTTAATTGTTTCTTTGTTTTTAAAAATACAACCTTTTTTGTTGTTTGTTAGTCAAAATGATGTTTTAAATTGGTAATTTGAAAATATCTTGTCCGGTCTTTTCATTAATTCACGGCTACAACTTTTTGTTGTAGCCACATTCTCATACTTTGATTGTACCCCTATAAACCAAGATTTTTTATCAGTCAGGAAGTGCAGGTGCGTGCAGGTACATTCGCATAAGTCGCAAAAGTGGTTGATTATCATAAACAGGTCATTACGGCGGCGACAGAATTAGGGTTGGCAGGTGACTCATATCTGGCATACTGCCAAACCACCTGCCGCCGGCGCTGGGGACTTTTTGATTTTTGTGTGAAGTACTTACTTGACATGTCGTCAAGTCGAAGTACTGTATTATATTACCTGCTTGACTTGTCAAAATATTGTTTTGTAACTCATTTACCGAATAGTTGGTTATTTAACTAATGTGTTTTATTATTAGGTATTAAGATGTCGTATGTCTTTGTAGTAATGAATATTTTAATATTCAAGACTGTAAAATAAGCTATTTAATGAATTGCACAGGCTACATATTGATAGAAAATAGACTTTAAATTAACATCGGCGAATTCGATTATGGTAATTCTGAACCTCTTTTCACGTCTTTATGAATAGAAGTAGACGAACAATACTCATAATTCTAGATGCCCTAAGTATAACACATTCTCTTTTGATTCCACATACATAAATATTTTAACTTCTCTGAATAATCTTTTATAGTATAAAAAGCTCTTCACAGTCAACTTTATAGCAAGGTAATCTACGAAATAACCTCTAAACTGTCCCCTTCGACAACCGAGTACAATTCTCCCGGTGACTCAGCTATTTCTGTCGCCGGAAAGGGGACTATTTCCAGTTCGCTATTTCCACACCTCTGCCTACCCACCTAGGGCAGACATGGTGATTTAAACTTTTTGATGTCTCCTTTGTAATATGTTTTAAGTTTAAACGTTAAGTTTGTTTCGGAAGTGTATCGTTAGTTGAGTTGGGGTTCGCAAAGTATCGTAGATGGTTTGAGTTGTATTATTGGGATTTTCGGTTTTTTTTTCATAATTATATTTGTCAGTGATTTTGGAGTTTAAAGTTTCATCATCATCAACAGCCATTAACTGCCCACTGCTGAGCAAAGCCTCTTCTCACACGGAGAAGGTTTGAGCATTAATCACCACGCTTGCTCAATGCGGGTTGGCGATTTCAAACTTATAATTAGAAATTATAAGTCCAGGTTTCCTCTCGATGTTTTCCTTCACCGTTTGTCAGTGGTGTCTAAATAATCTTAGAAAGTACATATAACTGTCACATTGGTACTTGCCATTGGTAGGTTTCGGACCCGCACCTTCATGCATGAGAAGCGGGCGTCTTAACCTCCGGGACACCACGACATTGATTGTTTAAAGTTTAGTTCTTATTTATTTTTATATTTGATGAGCCGACGTTTGGCCACTCTTTCACCTGGTGGTAAGCGATGATGCGGCCTACAGTGGAGCACCTTTGCCTATAAGCAACCTATTTGTTTTTACCTGTCTCTTCAGTGTAGAACGTACAAGGATGCCTAAATAAAAATATTTAACATTTTCCTTCTTTACTATTTACGGTTATCGATTGGTTCATATTGTGAAAATGGGCATAATGTTCTGATCTGATGTATGTCTAATGTTCATAGCATAAGTGGAGATAGACTAGATGTTTATGGATACCTCTGTCTAAACACGGCTATACCTAGGTAGAAGTTTTTTGAAAAAAATCTAAAATTACTGAAAATTCATTCACAACCATGTACCTCTATTCAACATCAAAACCCATGACATCACACTATAACAGACACGTCATACGTCACATATGACTCAGGGTATAGAAATACAATTTGGCGAGGTACCCGACCGGGAATGAACCCCGGTCTATTTACGTGCTGGCGGCGTGCCAGCGTCGTTTGATTGTTTGACCCGTTTCCTGAGCTATGGTGGTGTGATTGCTTTGTCCTGACTCTGACCGAACTGATCTGATCTGATATGATATTGTTTATGGTTTACTATGGGTTATTGTCTGTATGTCTGTCTGGCTGACTTTGGGTTGTGTTGTAGATGTTGTGAAGAGATAAGATGAATGTGTTTCTATCTTTTTTTGTTTCATAATACGTAATGTCAAGCACCATCGTGCGCTATTCTGGTGTTACTACAAAGATTTTAGAAAAACCGAGAACAAACCAATATTTCTTTGCGTGCAAACCGGGAACTGAAACTCGGAGTTCTTGCTCGGCATCCATGTCCGCCATTTGACTAACGAGGCTGTCAAATAGAATAAATAAAAATGATATTATGATTAAAGCTTAGTAATAAGACCATTTTGCAATAACTCTCATTTCTAATGCCATCTTCTCTTCTCCAGGATCTTAGTTGGTGCTCCGGAAGACCAGCTTTACTCTGCATACGAGTACAATGTTACCCGACCTGGTGCAGTGTACCGGTGCGAGCCAGGGTACAGGAACTATGCTGCTGAGGGGAATGTCAGGACCCTGGACCGGTGCAGTCCTATGCAGTTTGATAAGAATCCAAGTAAGTGCTGATATATTTTTATTTGCTTAAATTTTATAGTTTTGGAGAAGTTTTACAATTAAGAAAGTGTACGTATGGTTAAATAAATAGGAAATATAAACTAGGATTTCGTGTAATTGTGATTGTAGAGATAATAAGCACTGGTTCAATTTTGGACCATCTTAATTTTAACTCCTAAATTTTTTATAACATAAATGTATCAATCAGCGTGGTTATGGAGTCAGGCAGATTGTTGTTAGTAGTCAATTGATCTCAAAAAAACACTATCTTTTTTCTCAAAGACAAACATTAAAATTTTTGAAACGTTCCTTATCGTTAACCTTCCTAGGCGTCGACAATGTCGTAGGGAATCGGAATATTGCAGATAGTTTTAAAGATCTGTTTGAGTTGGAACCAATGCCCTGTGAGTTTAGTAGAGTAAGTAAGCCTGACGTCAGACCTGGTGAGAAGTACCGTCGATTTAGACCAGTAGACGTGAGAAATGTAATAAAAAATATGAAGAGTGGAAAATCCCCAGGTCATGATGGTATTAGTATAGAGCATTTGCGTTATGCAGGTGTACATTTGCCCAGAGTCCTAAGTCTGTTGTTTAATTTTTGTATAGGCCATTCTTATATCCCGGATGATATGATGAGAACAGTGGTAGTTCCGATAATAAAGAACAAGACCGGGGATCCATCTGACAAGCGAAACTACCGCCCAATATCACTGGCCACAACCATGGCGAAGGTCCTTGACAGTCTCGTGAACGCGCAGCTGAACGAACACGTTCAGATACATGACTTGCAGTTTGGCTTCAGACCCAACTTGTCAACGGACATGGCAGTTATGTGTCTCAAACAAACGGTAAGGTATTATACCGACAGAAAAACACCAGTATATGCGTGTTTTCTTGATCTCTCGAGGGCATTTGACCTGGTGTCTTACGATATTCTTTGGCATAAACTACTGGAGGAGACTGCTGTGCCGAGGGAGGTAGTATCGCTCCTCAGGTATTGGTATAGCAATCAGAAGAATGCTGTCAGATGGGTTGACGCATTTAGTCGGGACTATAAACTGAAATGCGGGGTGAGGCAAGGGGGGTTAAGCTCACCGACTTTGTTTAACGTTTTTATGAACCAGCTTATTGGCGGGCTGAGCGGAACCAAGGTCGGGTGTTCAGTCGATGGCACAATGATAAATAATATCAGTTATGCGGACGACATGGTCCTGCTGTCCCCATCAGTCAATGCGCTCAGGAAACTTCTCTACATATGTGAATCATACGCCCAGTCGCATGGACTCAAATATAATGCCAGCAAAAGTGTTCTCATGGTATTTAAAGCAGGGAACAAGGCGCCTTCGAATGTGCCGCCAATTAAAATCGCAGGGTCGGCACTAGAGAGGGTGTCCAAGGTGAAATATTTGGGTCACATGCTGACGGAGACGCTACTGGATGATGAGGACTTAGAGAGAGAAAGGAGGGCGTTGGCAGTCCGCTGCAATATGTTGGCCCGCAGATTCGCACGGTGTACCACAGATGTAAAACTATTACTCTTCAGAGCCTTCTGTCAGTCATTTTACACGTGCAGTCTGTGGATCAGATTTACGAGGCGGGCTTATAATGCCCTGCGTGTGCAGTACAATGATGCACTGAGGGCAGTGTTGAGGAAACCCAGGTGCTGCAGTGCTTCCGCAATGTTTGCGGATGCTTCCATCGATGATTTCTTCTGCATCATTCGAAAAAGAACTGCATCAATGATGAGCAGGGTACGTTCAAGCGCCAATGCTGTCCTCAGAACGTTGGCTTACAAAATAGACAGTCCGTTTATTGTGTACTGGGCCAGTGTACACTTGCTTAGAAATAAGAAATAGACTCCTGTTCCGAACTATTAATTTACTGTTTTTGTTTATTTTTTTTTAACTTCTTTTTAGTTTGTTTACTAACAAATTACTAACACTTTATGTTTTGTATTATTGTGTGAAGTACTAACAACCATACTAACAAACTCAATTTACTTATTTTACAAGTTTTTCTTTAATTTTTCTAAAAGTGTATGGACTTACGTCTGAAATAAAGATTATTATTATTATTATTATTATTATCACTCAATAAAGCTCAAAACAGTTACGAAACTTACAACGTATCTTATAAAAACCTTTACACCCTGTACCCGTATTGCAATAAATTACTTAAGAAACAGTATACAAGAACTGAACCCACGTATATTCGAACAGAAGGTGATCGTGACAGCACAATGCGATACACTCCTCATATCTCCTGCCTCGCCATACCTCACCAGATGAAATCAATGAGCCTTCCCGTAATGCGATTGCAGCGCCATTACTCATACAACTCTTATCGAAGTTTATTAACATCATATTATTAAATATTTATTAAATGATTCTTGTGTACTAGTGACGTATGAGGTTCTTGAGTCGATTTGCAGGGAAATTCTAAAAATAGAACTAATCATTTTTTTTAAAAAAACGTTGCCCCACTTTAGGATTTTCTCCTGTGTCGTGAGTGCGTTTACAAATATACAAGTTCACATACACAATGACACCCAGACCCGAAACAACAATTTGTGGATCACACGAAGTGTTGTTCTGTACGGGAATCGAACCCGCGACACGTTGCATGGCAGAAGGTTGCCCAGCCACCGCACAAACCGTGCAGTCAATCCTAAATAGGTACTAAAGAATGACTCAAGTCTCAAAAGACTTGGTACTTATATTTCTTACCTTTTTAGGGAAAAATATGAGTGATATTGCAAAAATACTTTATAATTCATAGGAGCCTTTTTGCCTACAAAATAAGGTCCTATAAACAGAGTTCAACGACTCCTTCCGAAATCACGAACAGATGACGATACCATGTCCCCGTGACGTGTGTCGTGGCGCGCATGCGCGTGACAGCTACCGCGCACGCGCGCCTGATTTATACGATATACGGCAACTCCTGCGCAACGTGACGTTACATGCGGGTGACAGAAGGTTGAGACTGAGCAGCTGTGGTTTTAATGCTGGTTTATTTCAAATCTTGATAAATTTTTATTGATTTAGATTTTATCTTAGAAACAAATTGAAATATACTGTAAAAAAAGATTTTGAACAGGAAATTATTATTATAAAGAAGCGATGAAATTAGGGTGTATACTTGTACAGTTAATTAATCAACAAACACATTGGTGTTCCTTATGATAACTTAGAAATTTAATGGTCCCAAAAACAGGGAAGATTAAATGTTTTATTAAAAAATATTTTAGAGCAAAGCTTCTATCTCATCTCAACTCAATACAGCTTCAGGAGCTTCACATTTATGTTCGAATATTAATTGGCATAAAATACATCCAAGTCTGTACTAGCTTCACATAATACCAGACTTAACCAGTTCAAAGTAAACCTTCTGTAATGATCTACCTCACATATCTACCGACTCCTGCGCAGCCATCGCGCTTTGTTCGCTAGATGGACGTAATGTGTCTTGTCGGAACGAGTAATACCTTCACTTCATATTAGACATGAAGGCTTTGTTATATGGTCAGTTTAAACTCTGCTAAACAAGTTAAATATGTCTCGTTTGTTATCTCGATGTTCTTGAACAATGGGGTTGCACGGTGAAGCTGGGAAGGTATATGTAACCTTGTTGTATTTAAGTAAACTAAATAAAGACGTATGAAAGAGGAATGATAAGATAGACAGGGTGCCAATTGAAGGGTAATATAGCTTGGATCATTATCTACTTAACTATCGATTAGATGTTCAGCAAATGTTACTTACGCTTTCAAATGTTTTTGATTTTAAGTCGACTGTGTATGCCTCATTATGCTAAACTTTTTTTGAATGACATGCCTCTCATTTTATACTATCTTTGCTGGTCTCCGTATTTGGCAGTTACATTTTGAAATTTAATTTTTTAACAAAAGTACAGACAGTAAATTTAATTAATCGCCAAATTAATTAATCTTCTCTGAAATCTGTCGACGTCAGATTATAGGTTTAAATTACACCAAATATTTTTTTTTAAAGTACGTTCACCTCATAAAAAATAACTATTGAATAAGACAACAACAAAGCGATACCTCAAAGTAAATAAATCGCCAAGTATCCGGACTATCACAATGGGCTTAACTTTACGATGCACAGGATGCGCGCGCGCAGTTAACGCGTGCGCGTGAGTCGATTCTTAACCCACATCGATATTTTTAATGTCCATGAGAAAGTGGATGGATTTCGCTGTACGTTAACTATGTGGCTGTATTTAGAACGATCTGAGATTTTTAATGAGACTTCCTGTTCTATTTTACTGGAAATTGTTCTATAACTCGTATTCTGACATATATATGCTGTTAACTGGGGTTCAATTTAACAGCCAAGAGTTAAACTGTCAAACACCAAGCGGTCACCGGTGACCGCGACCTATTGTTCTTTAATTGTGTCTATAAAACCGGTACTCGACGAGTTAAGGACGTGGTCTATTTTTGCCAGGAAATCTTATATAAACTTTTCCTAGTCTATTTGTTGTCAATCTTGCTTGACTGAATAACGAAGATGAAATATCATTTACGACGGCAAAATTAAAACTGGTTTTAATCTCAAATCCGATTTATGTCAGTTTTTGGAACTAGTTTTACTAAATTTCCGCCATAAACTTAGATGTAAAGATAGATTGTGCCGGTTCGGTGCTGCGGAGAACGTAAAAGGGGTCCCGGCTCGAAGTGCAGGAGTAGGAACGGGGTGGTTTTGAGTCAGTAAGAGTCTTTTTTTTTTTTTTATGGGGGGAAAATCATCGAATGACTGCTCCCGTCTAGGTGAGGCGGAAGGGAGTGTCGGACTCTTACTGACTAAAAACCACCCCGTTCCTTCTCCTGCACGTCGAGCCGGAGCCCCGGTTACCCGTTAGGTTCTCCGCGACTGAGTCAGTAAGAGTCTGGCACTCCCTTCCGCCTCACCGGTTTTTAGCGGGCATTCGTTGATTTCCCCCCTTAAAAAAAAAAGATAGATTGTAGATAGAAATT